GGCACCTTACGTTGGAGTTTTCTTTGTGCAGGAGAACTGGACCTTCCCTTAGTTAGCCTAAGCAGGACCTGGGCCCTCCACGTAATGAGAGTACCCTCTATTAGTACCCATGATCACATTAACATTATTCAATGGCAGAGACTTTGCAGGAGTTGGTTTATTCTGTTGTCCGGTATCACCAGTAAAGAAACCCAGCCCCAGTCTCCCAGCTAGTGAGTACTGTAATCTTTTCTTACATGTGCCCTCTCCTCTTGGTGGGGAAAACATCCTCATTGCCCAGCATCAGGATTTCTGTAATGAGAAGCATATGTTTCTAACACACAATTCATTAATTCTTGTATTCCCTATAGCTTATTTCCTTCCACAAAAACAGGGAAAGCTTGGAAATGTTTTGCCAGTAACAGCATGATTGTTGAGTCCCAAAACAGTGTCACACTTTATTCACCAAACATTTTACAGACAACTTATGCCAAAGAAAATGACTGTTTCCAAGCTGGCTTTGTTCCCTTTCATTTGGAAAGGTGGAATCCCAATCTCAAACATAGTTCCATTAGGATATCTTTTCTGCCAACCACACCCAGCTTTTCCCAGAAGGTTATCTGATAATGTTTTTTCACTGCACGTCTGGCTTTCATTCATTCTTTTTTCTCCCCCATGAGATACTTTTTTAAATATTGTTTTTGAAAGTATATACAGGAAAGCATATACCAGTTCAACAATTTCTACATGTACAATTCAGTGACTTTGATTATATACTTTAAATTGTGCAACCATTCTCACTCTCCTTTTCTGAATTATTCCTCCCACATTAACATGAACTCACTGCCCCCTAAGCTTCCTGTCTAATTTTCCAAGTTGCTGTTGTCAGTTTGATCCCATGTAGATAATTCTTCAAAAGAGTACAATGTTCAAGACAAACATTCTTTACTAAATAAGCTAACCTATTGTTTGGCCTAAAAAAGACTCCAGGGGATATTTTTGGTTTAAGATGTAAAGATTATCTCAGGCCAATAGTTTCAGGTTTATCCAACCACAGTAGCTCTAGAAAGTCTGGATTCCGTGAGAATTTTGAATTCTGTTGCACATTTTCCCCTCTTTTGATTGGTATTCTTCTGTAGAATCTTTTATCAAAATGTTCAGTAATGGTAGGCAGGCACTATGCAGTTGTTCTTCTGGTCTTATGGCAAAGGAGGCATTTGTCCTTAGAAGTAATTAGGGACGCATTCTGTTTCCTCTTCCTATTTTTGACTCTCCTTCTCCTCCCCTGCTTCAGGTAAATAGAGACCTATTTTACCTTGGATGGCCACTTAAATGACTTTCATTCATTCTTGAGTATTATTGAACTCCTACTCCAATGGCTATTTCTAGTTGCAGAGAAGACAAAAGGTATGTAAGGCATGAACCTGCACTCCTGTTTCTTGCAGTCCAGTAGAGGAGACAAGACATAGATCAACCGATTAACAACATAAGGCAACATGTGCTTTTGGACAGTGGATGATGCAGTAAAACTGAGCCCTAGGAGTGCAGAGATGTGAAAGATCTGTGAGTACTACAAGGCTTCTGGAAAAGCAGGGAACTTAACTTGAATCTCAAAAGATGGGTAGATTTTTGGAAAAGAGAAAAACTGTGAGGTTGCCAGCAGTGGCAGGCAGAGTCACAGACTATATGTATTGTGAAGACAGGGAGGAGACTGATCTAGGAAGAACTGAGGCTAGGCTGTGAGTGGGGCTGGTAAAGGAACAGGTAGAAACAAGTAGCTCTAATCACATTGCACTATGTTTTCAGATCCCCAACAACTTTTTGTTGCTGATGTCATTTGAAACACTTAATGGGCAGACCCTAAACTGTTTTGCAAACTCATCCCAGCTGCTCCCTGCCCACTCACCCTGTGCCTCCATTCCATCCCCCTACATCTTTAGTTCCCACTACACTTTCCGTAGGAGTTCCATGCCTTTTTCCACGTTATTTCCTTCATCTAGAGCATCTTCCTCCTCTTGTTCTCTGATTCAGTTTCCCCAAATGCACAAAATCCTGCTTGTTCATCAAAGTTAAACTTATCCTGGTGCCTCCCACCCACCCCAGGTGGGATTGTTTCCTTACTATACCCACAGCAGCTGCATCAGTCAATGACCCTTCTGGCTTCCACCAGCACCAGCACCAGCACCACTGTTAACCTGTCTGAGCCCTCCAGGGTAGACTTTGGACTGGTTAGTTTGGTGGTGGTATGTGTGTCTCCACCCTCACAATGAACTCATAGGAAACCTGCCTCAAATGTAGTTTCTACTAAAACTTTAAAAGCCTGTTTCCAGTTACTTTCTTTGTGTTGTAGAAAGCAACCACAACTTAGGGATAAGTTAGGTGGTTTACTCATGAGTGAGCAGGAACTAGGACTTCCAGTGTCCAGCTCTTGTCCTCTGGATCCAGTTTAGCCTAACCTAGTATCCACTCCATTTGAAGAGCAGTGACTCAATAATCTAATCTGGGGAAAACTGCAAACCATAAAATGCGTGGCCACTTCCTGGCTGATACAGAGATCTTTGACAGTATTGCTATTGTGGGAAAGCGTGTGTGGGAGTGGATATGGTATGTAAGTCATGAGCTGAACCGTATGGGGATCCCAGGGAGGTAGGAAGTGGAAGCAGTCTCCAAAAATCCATTCTCAACCTTGGTGGAAATTTTCTTACCCTTTCTTCAAACCCTTTGCTGTCAAGTTGATTTCTACTCCTAGCAACCCTGTGGGACAGAGTAGAACTGCCCCATAGGGTTTCTAAGGCTGTGATCTTTACATAAACAGATTGCCACCTCTTTGTACCACACAATGGCTGGTGGGTTCCAATTACTGACCTTTCACATAGCAGCTGAGCGCTTAACCACCATACCATCAGGGCTCCTTTTACCCAACATAGATACTCTTTTTTCTTAATGTGTCAAAAGTCTTATGCTTCAGTTTCTTAAGTAGCCTTGTAGAGTAAGTGATGCTGTTAGTTTCTAAACAGTCTCTGGTTGGTGTTCTTCGAGAAATGAATCCAAATTGTGCATCCTTACTCTCGCATTCATTGAGAAACGTTCTAGCATAAAATATGTGCTCACTTGCGTTGGAATCGTCTAGAGCTGAAAAGACCTGGCCTGTTGCATCGGAGAGTGAGAGAATGCTAGTCCTTGCTAACAGCCCAGCATCTCCCACCTCCGCCTTTGTTTAGCCTCTGTTTGAGAAGAGGAAGGAGGCACCTTTCCACCCACTGCATTTGAATGTTGCTATGGCAACTGACAGGCCCCTCTAGAAGCAGCCCAAGTATTGTTTTCTTCAAGGGAAAGGAAATATCTACTGTTGCCACCTCCATGACATGTGTACACAGGAAAGGCAAAGATTTGGAGCTCTGAGAATGGCATATTGGGTGCACAGTTGATCCGTGTGGGGCTCAAGTCCCACAGGGTCACATATGTCATTTTTGGTTGGTAGATGGTTCTAGGAGCGAGCTCCGTGGTACAGAAGGAGCACTGGGGGATTTAGCCATGAGCTGGCTTTGAGCCAGATCAGAGGATGAGCACTGTGTATGTGGCTGGGAGCTGGATGCTTGCCAGTCAGGGTGGGCGTGGGGGTGCTGTCAGAGGGCTTAGCCAGCAGTCTTCCTTGCCTTCTGCTGACAACTGCCATCACAAGCTTAAAAGCAAGGTTCTCTGCAGGTGAGTCAGGTAAGTGGTGCCCAAGTATAAGACTTCCATTTTTGACTGTGAAACAGCTCAGCCACCTAGCGAAAGTGAGTCTTCCTCAGTGGATCTGCTACTAGAAACTTTGCAGAGTAAAAAGGTAATCAGAAGCTGGGAGTGGTTATAAGAATGCAGCATGGTAGAATGGAAGATGTAATATTATTGTAAGAAACCTCAGTGGTGCAATGGTTAAGCACTAATCTGCTAACTGAAAGGCCAGTGGTTGGAACTCACCAGTTGCTCTACAGGAGAAGGATGTGGCAGTCTGTTTCTGTAAAGATTACAGCCTGTGTGGCAGTTCTGTCTGTCACATGGGGTCGCTACGTGTTGTAATTGACTTGAGGGCACATAACAACAAGGCTGTTGTGAGAATTATGCATATTATAGTTAGAACACATATATAATGACTACCTAGTACATCATCGGGAGCTCTGGTAGCATAGTGCCTAAGGCAATTGACTGCTAACCAGAAGGCTGGCGGTTCAAACCCATCAGCCACTCCTCAGAAGGAAGATGGGGCAATCTACTTCCGTAGTGATACTGCCTCGGAAACCCAAGGAGGGGTCGCTATGAGTCGGGTCCGACTCGATGGCACATAACAACAACAACAGTACATCATCGGGGAGCACTGGTAGCATAGTGGCTAAGGCACTTGACTGCTAAGCAGAAGGCTGGTGGTTCAAACCCACCAGCCACTCCTCAGAAGGAAGTTGGGGCAATCTACTTCCGTAGTGATACTGCCTCAGAAACCCAAGGAGGGGTCGCTATGAGTCGGGTCCAACTCGATGGCACATGACAGCAACAACAACAACAACAGGACCAAGAAATCTATGTTTTTAAGACAACGTCCCTGAGTGATTCTGATAAAGCCAGTCTGTGATTCATGATAAGGAATTTGCTTATTTGTTTGAAGATATAGGGGATAACCAGCATTGGGTTTTAACCACCTTCTTTCCACTTCCACCAACTCCTATCATGCTATCTTTATTCTCCTTATACAGTCCAAAGGTTTTTGATAAAATAATCTGTGTTTGGAAGGAGGGATGTTTGATAAAGTTGCTGAAACTAACTTAATTGGGAAGGCAAAGAAAAACTGAAGTTGCTCACCTTCTCCCTGATAGAAAGTTGAAAGGAATCCCTACAGAAAGCCATATGCAAAATCTAGATGACAGTTGGACCATCTTTTAGCTTGCTTCACATGTTATTACATTTAAGGCAATGTTTACAATATGATTAAGCTTTAAATAACATTGAGCATGCATTTAGCTGATGGTCTTTTCTGCATCCCACAGGAACGTGGCTGAAGAGTGGTCTGGGGCTTGTGCACCAGGAGGGCAGCCAGCTGACGTGGACCTACATTGCCCCACAGTTGGGGTACTGGGTGGCAGCCATGTCTCCTCCCAGACCAGGTAACATGAAGCCAACACTTGTGAAGATGGATGGTTGGTTTCTTTGTGGGTTTAGGCTAAGTATGCTTGCAAAAATAACTTTAGCAGGAAGATCACCTCTTACTAAAAGATTGGTTGAAAGTTCAAAAATCAAATGATAAAAATAAAATATATCATGTTGTTGTTGTTGTTGTTGTTGTTATGTGCCGTCGAGTCGGCCCCAACTCATAGCGACCCCTCCTTGGGTTTCCAAGGCAGTATCAGTACGGAAGTAGGATTGCCCAACCTTCCTTCCGAGGAGTGGCTGGTGGGTTGATTCTAGTTGGAACTCTCCCATCTAGGATAAGAATAATGCATAGAAAATAGTCGTGTCTCTTGTCCTTGTTTTGCTTAGGCAGCTGCCATAGGAAATTCTTAATCAAAAGCCATCAGAGGCGGTGAAGACCTCCTCCCTAATTCCTGAAACAGCTGTGGCCTGATGGGGAACAGTGTCTGCAGACAGGCACTCAGCAGAGGGACTAGCAGAATGTCACCACTGGAGGTTTCTTAGAGCTAAAAGCTTGATTTGGCATTTCTAAAAGACCTAAAAGCAAACCAATTGCTTTGTGTCTAAAACAATATCCATCTCCTTTTGTTGTTGTTGTTATGTACTGTCAAGTTGGACCTGACTCATAGCGACCCCTCCTTGGGTTTTTGAGGCAGTATCACTACGGAAGTAGATTGCCCAACCTTCCTTCTGAGGAGTGGCTAATGGGTTTGAACCACCAGCTTTCTGGTTAGCAGTCAAGTGCCTTAGGTACTACACTACCAGAGCATTTCCTTTTAGGCTATATGAATTAACTCATATTTTTCGGAGTGTGACCAGGAGTTTATTTTTTCCAACCAACATGTCCTGTTATATCCTAATGGATATTACAGACTATCTTTCAAAATAATCACCTTTGGAGAATTATTTCCAGTGACGGCTTCCATTGCTCAAAAATGCCTCTAGGAGCTGTGTCACTTGGCCAGCCTTCATTAGTGAATCTCTTCATTGTTTGCAAGTCTTTATGCCCAGAGGGTACTTTGATTTTTCAGATACATCTAAAAGTCATACACATCCAAGTCTGATGAATAAAGTAGGTGATTGAGCTAAATCAAAATGTGCTATGATTAAAGGGTATCACTTGTAAATTAACCGAGAAGGCAGTTCCAAAATATAAATTCAGAATATTTTAGCAGTGGAAATTAGCATTTAAATTAACACTCCCAAAGTAACTAATCTGATGGAGGCCATTCTTAAGACATTTCACATCTGTGGTTGAAGAGTATTGTTTTCCTCTATGGTATTGTTACAGTAAACGTATAGTATAAGCACACACCAAGTACAGAAATGCCTCATTCTCCAACTCTTAAGTATCTAGAACATGACTGAGAGATAGGAAGAAAGGAAAAGAAACTTCTTAAATAAACAAGTAGAGGTCACAAAGCCCATGCACTGAGGTTTACTTTTGTGTTAGATGTACTTCCAGCTTTGCTGGACATAGATCCAGTGGGGACCACCTCACAGTAAAAAAAAAAAAAAAAAAAAAAAATGACTGATGAATTCATTCAATCCTCACAAAACCCTAAGAAGTAGACTATTTAATTATCATCATTTTAAAAAAAAAAAAAAAAAAAACATACACAGAAGCTCAGCAGCACAGCCTCTGGTAGCATTTAACACAGGGACACATGTATTGGTAACCTCACAGCCATCACTTTATTAAAATATATGATGGTGGTACTGGGATTAATAAGCCAAAAGCCAAAAAAAAAAAAAAAAAATAGGGTCCCCCCCTTCAATCTTCTGTTTAAAAAGGAAGTGAAACATGATTGCAAATTTTATAAATATTTCCAATGGGCAGAAGTTAAAATATCATTTTAAATACTTAAAGAACCAAGCTTCAGTTATTTGAAAATTATTTTTATGTGTACCCCAGGTTCCCTGGGATTCTTGACAAGACACTGCCTATGTCTCTGGGGATTGTCTTTGGGTGTAAAAGTGTTTCTCTAAACAATAAAGGCAATATATAATGTCAATTGTTTTTCCAGTTTTTTAAAACATTAGCCTCTTCCTCCCGTCTTCCCTACTCCATTCAAATTAATTCATTTGATAGGGAATGGTATTATCTTTTGAACTTAAGTAATTTCATTATTTTCAGCAACTTGTACACCTCTTTGAGTTTATCTAGCTCTTAAATGAAAAGAATTATCTCCTTAAAATGATTTTTTAAGAAATCTCTTTCTCAGAGTATAATAAAATAAATATCTGGATTTTTATGGTGTTTGGTAGTCATAACCATGCTACTATGAAATAATGTGAAACCACACTCCGTCCCTTCCCCCTATGGTGCACTGTTGGAAGACCTGGACACCAGCAAGTTGCCCACATATTGTAATATGGGGAGATTTTTGCTGTCATTGTCCCTCCTTTGTAGGTGACATTAACATAGATTCTTAAGCTACCATTTGGAATTCTGTGCAATGTAAATTAAGCAGAAAATATTTTTTCATCTCTGGTAACCTTGTCTCATAGCTAAATTTTTCAAACTCTAAAGAGGTCTGTGGCCATATATTGTTAGCTCACTGCCGTTGAGTCTAATCCGACTTATGACAACCCCTCCTTGGGTTTCTGAGGCAGTATCTTTATGGCAGTAGATTGCCCAGTCTTCCTTCCGAGGAGTGGCTGGTGGGTTTGAACCACCAGCCTTCTGGTTATATGGTTAGCCATGCTGAAAAAGTGTAGTGGAGGAAGATATTCTTTTTAAAAAATGAAAAGCATTGTAGTAACACTTGATACCCCATAATAATAAGTTTGTTTTTTGTTGTTTTTTTTTTAACTTATAGTGAATTTATTTCATTCTTTTGAACTGGTTCATTGAGACAAAGGGGTCTCCACATAGTAATAATGGACTGCTGAGGAAGAGTGAGAATGTACTCTTATGATTTTTCTTCCTACAGTGTAAAATCCCAGATATTCAGACCATCTCTCTGAACATGACAGTCCCACTCATTATATCATCATGTGTTTATTTTCTTTTTTCAAAGGTCATGTATTTAGCAAGCTGAACATGCTATTGAAGGAGTCTCTCCTCTCAGCTAAAGGGGGAACCTTTGACACACTGTGTTTAGTATTTGCATATTCTGAGTGCACTTGGCCACAGATGCTTCGGTAATGGTCATGTTAATCACCTTTCATTGAATGAAATTATGGTGATGCTGCCAGTGCAACACTGAAAGGGTGCCTGGCCACTGCTCTACACCCCAGCTAGTAATAGTAAAAGAAAGACGTTAAGTTCTCAGTTAATAATCCCTCTTTTTATCTAAAGGTTTTCACAAATCTAAAATGCCATTTTCTGACCTTCTAGGTCCCGTTGTAACACAGGACATTACCACGTATCACACGGTGTTTCTTTTGGCCATTTTAGGAGGAATGGCTTTCATACTTTTGGTTTTGCTGTGTCTCCTTTTATATTATTGCAGGTAAAGTTTTACCATTTTAGCAATATCTTTTCTACTTTAGAATCTCTTGTGCAAGCCTTGATATTGAGATCTTTTTTTTTTTTCCTTTTCCAGTTGAGATACATTTTTTTCTTGTGAGAAAAATGTCTAAGAATTGAACATTTGTGATCTGAGTTGCAAATGAAGAATAGAAAGTGTGAAGCATGTTGTGTATAACATTACTTAGAAGAAGAGTTATGAAAAACATTGATAATTATCATATAGGCCTATGAGTCATTCAGAATATTCCTAAGTGCTGATTAAGAGATGATATTCTCAAGGATAAAATAGAACTGTTCTTACTTTGATGCCATGTCTATTCAGTTTGCAAGAATGTTTACTAGCATTCTTGGGAAACCCTTTTCAAATGAGTAATTCAGCTAGATATAGGGAAGCCTGAGAATAGAAATTGCATACTGTGCCCTGAATTAAAATAAGGATGAGGGCAAGCAGGGTAAGAGGGCTCCTGGCTGTTGGTTAGTTCTTTCTTTTTGTTGGTTCTTTAGGAAACTGAGAATTAGGATTTTACTTGATATTTTCCTATTATGAGAACCTTTAATCTTTGGGTTTGGATTGTATTTTGGATCACAGGAGGAAGTGTTTAAAACCTCGCCAGCACCATAGAAAACTGCAACTTCCTACAGCCCTAGAGAGCTCCAAGAGAGACCAGTCAACTTCCATGTCACACATAAACTTGCTGTTTTCTCGTCGGGAGTCTGAATTCCCTGGTCCGCTGTCTGTCACTGGCCACAGCCGCCCAGATGCACCAGGCTCAAAGGAGCTGATGAGTGGAGTCCATTTGGAAATGATGTCTTCCAGTGGAGAAGTGGATCTGCACACTCCCATGCTAAAGCTTTCCTACAGTACCTCACAAGAATTTAGCTCCCGAGAGGAACTTCTCTCTCATAAGGAAGAGGATAAAAGCCAAATCTCCTTTGATAACCTGACACCGAGTGGGACATTGGGAAAAGATTACCATAAGTCTGTGGAGATTTTTCCCTTAAAATCAAGAAAATCTATGGAAAGAGATGGCTATGAGTCCCCTGGCAATGATGACTATAGGAGGAGTTACAATGCTATGCTCTCACAGCCTTTATTTGAAAAGCAAGACAGAGAAGGTCAAACATCCATTAACCATATCTCCACAGGAAGTAAACTCACCATTCAGGAACACATGTACCCTGCGCCTTCTTCTCCTGAAAAAGAACAACTGCTGGACCGCAGGCCTACTGAATGTATGATGTCGCGGTCAGTAGATCACCTTGAAAGACCAACATCTTTTCCACGGCCAGGCCAGTTGATCTGCTGTAGTTCTGTTGACCAGGTCAATGACAGCGTTTACAGAAAAGTATTACCTGCCTTGGTCATCCCCGCTCATTATATGAAATTGCCAGGGGACCATTCCTATGTCAGCCAGCCTTTGGTTGTCCCAGCTGACCAGCAACTTGAAATAGAAAGACTTCAGGCTGAGCTTTCCAATCCTCATGCAGGGATCTTCCCACACCCTTCATCTCAGATACAGGCCCAGCCATTATCCTCCCAAGCGATATCTCAGCAACACTTACAAGATGCAGGTGCCCGAGAGTGGAGTCCCCAGAACGCATCCATGTCAGAGTCTCTCTCCATCCCAGCATCACTCAATGATGCAGCTTTAGCTCAGATGAACAGTGAGGTTCAGCTTCTGACAGAAAAGGCTCTGATGGAACTTGGAGGTGGGAAGCCACTTCCACATCCCCGGGCATGGTTTGTCTCTCTGGATGGAAGGTCCAATGCTCACGTTAGACATTCATACATTGATCTCCAAAGAGCTGGAAGGAATGGGAGTAATGATGCCAGTTTAGATTCTGGCGTGGATATGAATGAACCAAAATCTGCCCGGAAGGGAAGAGGAGACCCTCTGTCTCTTCAGCAGAACCACCCACCTGTCCAGGAGCACCAACAAAAAGAACCGAGAGCCCCAGACAGCACCACCTACACAAAGCTTGTGTATCTGGATGACATGGACCAAAGCAACAGTGAGTGTGGGACCACCGTCTGTACCCCCGAGGACAGTGCCCTGCGATGCCTGTTGGATGGCTCTAGTCGGAGAAGTGGCCAGTTGCCCAGCCTGCAGGAAGAGACAACCAAACGAACTGCAGAAGTCCCACTGGAACCATCAGCCAGTCCTGAACACAGAAGATCCACTCATGTGGAAGAAGAAGAGGAAGATGATGATGACGACCAAGGTGAAGACAAGAAAAGCCCCTGGCAGAAACGAGAGGAAAGACCCCTGATGGCATTTAACATTAAATGAGCTATACCAGAACCACCAACTGTGGAATATAAAATTGCCAAATATTCTTTCTTATGGAAGCGCTTACTTGTTTGTGGAGTAAACAGAGCAGTGGCAACTGTGGAAAATGGACTTTTACTGCATTACTGTTTGCTGTGTAAATGTTAGGAAGGGATTAAAGTTATTACTCAGAATAAAAGATGGTTTTAACGGATGCCTCCAGTCAGGTGGCTGAAGGTAGTGTCTGAAAGTTGTTCCATACACTTTCTGTGTCCACCACCGAGGACATTGAGAACCACAAATGATGTTGCTAGGTTTCATGATAACCTCAATTCTCCCTCAGATTATGGGAACAGATGAAATTCTTTTTGTATTGCTTGAATTAGTTTTATCATGATAATGCTACTGTAAAGTGATGATTGAGAAACTAAGTTGGCACTTAGTGTCTAAAGGTATGCATTGTCTCAAAGGAAAGCTATGCATTGCTGCTTTGTAGTGTTATTTTGCTTAGCTTTTGCTTTGGTTAGGTTTTGGTTTGGGTTCATTTAAAAAAAAAAAAAACAGTTTGGTTGTAAAGATTTTATTCCTGCATTTTCATCTGTTCTACTTCTCAGTGGTTTCCTTCCATGTCTCCTTTCAGGAATCCTAAGTGTCATCTCTTAACATGCAAGCCTTTTAATGAAATTGAACTGAATTTTGTATCAGCTGAAGAGTCCTTCAATTCTGGTCCCATTAACTCCAAGTGCCTTTTTTACAGTGACAATAGACAGTCCCTCAGTTTTTGGTTTGTTCGTTTTTTCTTAACTCCTTTAATTCAACTGCCTGGGTTTTACAAATTTATGAAAGTGTACCCCTTTTCTTTAAACTGCATGTCGCCAAGTGCCCATGTGTGCTCCGCATTCTCATTGCAGTGCAGTGTACTCTCTAGTTACCATGTGTAATGTGGGTTCTGTTTAGCTAAGATAGACTAGAGGACACTTTAGCGACACCCCTCCCTACTCCTGCCCTTTGGCCACTAGCCACCATTATGGTTTTATTGGCTGTTTGTATATATGGTTATGTATTAACTCGGGAATTTTATGGGCTGATCTTGCTCACCAGACATGGTGTATGGACTGAGCAATGTGACTGAATGTGACTATTAAAAAAAAAAATATATGTACTATCCAAAAGTGCCAGAATGACTCTTCTGTGCATTCTCCTTAAAGAGCTGCTTGGTTATCCAAAAATGAAAATTCAAAATAAACTCTCAAGAAAAACTCTTCTGTGTTTATTTTAATGTATTCTGAGTCTCCCTCCCCACCACACACACACACCCAAAGCCCCAACCAATTAAGAACTGGTTGTTGATCCCTTGACAGTCTGAAACACAAGTTGTTGGACTTGTGTTTAAAGACTACCACAAATACCTAGGAATTTACACTGTGGTTGACATCTTTAAAATCCACCTTTGTGTTTAGTTTTACTCAAGGGCACAAGGTAAACGTTTTGTTGGGTTTCAGGTAAAGAGAAATGTCTGTAATTTACAAGAAACTGGTGTTTTGTGTTCAGTGTTGCTCCATCTTGGAACAGCTTAAAGAAGATGCCATTGAAATGATCAGAACCATCTCAGATATGGGAGGCCACTCATCAGAATCACTCTTGGAGATATTGGGACATAGAACAGATTGGCAAAAATAAGTTAATATTTACAGTAACGGCTTCCTTACAGAAGCTTTACTCATGAATTCTATGCAGGCAGAAAAGTAATCAAGCTAATTTTTTTATTATTTTGATTCTCAGATGCTGATGCTTAATATTTTACTTTTAAGAAGAAAAAGTTGAGAGGCTTCCCAACAGTACTGGTTGAACAAATTGAGGTACGGTTTGGGAGTGAACACTCTCACCAACAGGTGGCAGGTGAGCCCTTTCAAACTTCACTAAGGCTCAGAGACAGAACAATTGTAAACTGCCCTGAATTTTTTTTTTTAAACTAAGTTGCCTCTCAAAAGAATACCCCAGGCCAGACCTAGTGACTGGAGGGAGCTGAAAGGGCCCCTGCTTTCTTGACCCCCACCCTCTGCAGCTCTGCCTAAGGTTGCTGCCTGTGGAATTACTTCCTTAACCTTCCAGAAGAAGCTTAATAAATGCTACCTGTGAAAAGTGGAGTTCCCAGGTTAATGCACTCAGCTGCTAACTGAAAGGTTGGATGTTTGAGTCCATCCAGAGATGCTTCAGAAGAAAGGCTTGACAATCTACTTCTGAAAAATTAGCCATTGGCACAGTCTACTGTGACAAACATGGGGTTCATCGTGAGTTGGAATTAACAGCAACTGGCTTACTATGCAAAGTAGGTAACACATTAACCATTTGAAGACAGTTCAGTGGGAGGGCTTTTTCTGACCCCTGCCTCATTAGGCAGGACCCACCTGGATAGGCCACAGAAAGCATTGAGCAGCCAGCAGTGATCAAAGACACAATGTGCCTTGGAAGACAAGGCAGTGAGTTTGCCAAAAGGGATCTGGTTGCACCAAAGACAGTTTCATGCATTTTACAGTTGTCCAAAATGAGGCTTAGAGGTTAAAATTTTGCCCAGGGCACCAATGGTGATCTCCAGACAAGAACTGTCTGACTGCACACTTAAAACGTTTCATTTACCTTCTCTCTAGCCTGTTGTAAGGGTCACAGTATCCAAATTAATTATATTGTCTGAAGAACTAAAGTCAGCATAGGCATCCTGCTTATGCCACCTAGTGGTGAATTTCACCTACCTATAAAAAACCTGCTAACCTGTGCTTTTTAATCTCCACAAATAGCTCTCTCCAGGACAGCTCTAAGAGGTAGGAGAAGGGGTGGGCACATGCATGAAACAGACGCTGGTTCTTTCCTCCAGGTAAGGTGAATGAGGAAAAGGGCACCGATGTTTGTTGAGTCCCTACCCTGCAAACAACATATTGTTGTTATGTGCTATCAAGTCGGCCCTGGCTCACAGCAACCCCTCCTTGGGTTTCCGAGGTGGTATCACTACAGAAGTAGATTACCGTACCTTCCTTCCGAGGAGTGGCTGGTGGGTTTGAACCGCCAGCCTTCTGGTTAGTAGTCAAGTGCTTTAGGCACTATGCTACCAGAGCTCCTCAAACAACATATAGGAAACAGTAACACATTCAATTACCAAAATTTCGTAAGGAAGGTGCAACTCTTTCTTTCTTAACAGCTAAGTAAAATGAGGAAGCCCAGGGTGGTGCAAAAGCTTAACAGGCATGCCTGCTAACTAAAAGGTTGGAAATTCAAGTCCACCCAGAGGCACCGTGGAAGGCAGGCCTGGCAATTTAGTTTCAAAAGCTCAGCTACTGAAAATAGTATAGAACACAGTTCTACTCTGACACACGAGGAATCAACTTGATGGCAGCGGGAACTAAAATGAGGCTTAAGTAACCAAGGGAACTCAGCTAGAAGCAGTCATGTGCTGGTAGATGTTTAGCAGTCAGCTCTCAGAAATGAATGCATTTAAATTTCTTTTAATTTTAGTGATCAAAGATGTATAATCCATAATTTAGAAACAATAAATAAATACATAATATATTGCATTGTAAATTCCATTTGACAATTGATTCCTACCAAATACTTCAGTTGATTTTCGCTATAGCCAGTGTGTGATTGTAACTGACAAATGAGTATAGTTTTGACATGAACGTTGGTTGATACATTCTTATCCTAATGACTAGGATGAAAGTGAAACAATGAAGATACATGTCACAGTTTCAGTCATTCATCAATGATTGAGTGACTTTGCTAAATCAGATAATAGTTTTCAAATACTACAAGGTATTTCTCCATTTTTTGTGCTTTTCAAAACATAAGTGATTCCAGACATGATAACAGTTTTGAGTTTAATCTTCATTATTAACATTTTCACCATCACTTTTTAAATTTAGACAATCAACAGTTCAAGCCCTGACTTATAGCACTGGCAAGTCTTTGTGGTGTAAATACTCCAGCCATGGCTGACTTGAGGCAACCAGTGTTATTACTGCACACAACAATTGGAGAGAGATGCATAGTTGCACACAGTTATACTGTATTTCCACCCTAAAGATAAAATAGAGATAAATAACCCTAAAAGCACACATAGTAGTAAAGTAATTCAGAAGTGATGGATTTTAAGTAACCATTACCTTTGTTTTTAATGTAATTATTTAATTACAAACTTATAAAACTTAATTTTTCACTAACTTACAAAGTTCTTGAAAATTTTGCATTTCTCATAAGCCAGTTTCAGCATGCTACTGGCTAGAAGGTACCAGTTGCTGTCAAGTCAGTTCTGACTCATGAAGACCCATGTATGCAAGGGTAGAACTGTGCTACATAAAGTTTTCAATGGCTTTTCTTTCAGAAAAGCATTGCCAGGCCTCTCAAGGAGCCTCTGGGCTGTCGTGAACCTCCAGCGTTTCGGTTAGTAGCCGAGTGCATTACCATTCGCACCACTCAGGGACTCCTGACTGGAAGGTAACAGCAGCAGAATGTGAACAAAAGTCTGTTTAACTCTAAAACCTAGTCTCTTGCTTTGAAGCTTCACATGGAAACCTCTAATTAGGAAAGAAATATTTAAGTGAAATTGCTCATTAGGCTGTAGTGGACTCAGATAGTACAAGCTAGATGGTGTTCACTAGAAAAATTATGTAGCTTCTGTGGGCCTAGGTCTAGCCACGGGAATTTGAAGGAATTTATGAGAGTGTGTGCTAAAACAAAGCACCATGCTAGGAAATCAGCAACATCACTTAAATGGCAGAGACCCTGTTTCCTGAGAACTTGAGTGTAAGTTAACACAGATGAATGCAAAAGCAGTGAGGCAAAGTACCCATGAAAAGAGCCCAGGACCAGACAGCGAGGGGATGGACCACAAAGCCTACTGCAAATCAGGCAGCAAGTACAATAAACTATGCAGTCCCGCATGTTTATCCTCCTTTACATTTTTGTTTTTACAGGCCTCTGTATTTGAGAATGATGGGATAAAAATGAGTATAGATAGAAATCTGTGGTGATTTTCAACCATTTTGATGCTCTGCAATTTCTTGTTTGCTATTTTGACAC